AGAGAGAGTCCGCCATAGCGGACGGCGGCCGGAGCCGCCAAGGTCGGAGAGAGAGAGAGAGAGAGAGAGAGAGAGAGAGAGAGAGAGAGAGAGAGAAACATGTTATTCATTAAAATAGTACATTATTTTCTAAATAGTACTTTTGTCGTTCGAGAAACTCGAAAGGTATACACGGCTGACGAAAGAAGATGCTCATTATACATTAATAAACAACGATCAGAGTCCTTATTCAACGGATAAATCCTCAACTAAACTGGCACACATTCAGACAGTCAGTACGAACGTAGCATATTGAAGGTTTCCCCTTGTGAGGGACGTATATGAGTGACCCAAAAAAGGTCTTCGTTGAGGCTTTAAAGGGTGCATGGGAGTAAAAAGAAGAGCTCATTTTTTAAGTTTAATTGAATACAAGCAGGATGAGTAGGATACATCTGAGTCACATGTTTCGATATAATCCATAATACACAAGTTGACTAGTTTTATAGTAAAACTGGGATATATCCGAATCAAATATTTCATTATTCGGATGGAGAAAATCCGTTATGTTATAAACCGTGCATCATTCATTAAATATCTTTGAAGTTCATTCAATCAAAAGGATGAACTTATGATCATAGCCCGGATCACCCTCCGAGGGAAAATTAACCAATATGTTATCATTCCAAGAACAATTATAGCTTAGCAGACATTTCTTAAAACAAAAGAGCATCGGACGGAGTGAAGTGGTGGGCAGCATTGTACAGAGATGTTATCATTTGCCGCTTGCCGGGTAAGACCTCGCAACCATGAACTTGTAACTTCCCTACCCAATGCTGCCCACCACTCCGCCACTATCCTTGCCGAGATCAAATGATGTATGTTAACAAACAAAAGTGCACAATCGGGAACCCCTTAAGAACTCTAGTAAACATCAGTCTTAAATTTCAATTGGATGGCGGTTGCATGTACATTATCACTTTACTAAACATTTTTCAAAACAAACGGGCATCGTACGGAGTGAAGTGGTAGGGAGCATATTATGTAGAGACGTTATGATCTGAGGATTGGGCATTGGAGAAGGCTCAAACGAATGCGTAGGATACATCCGAATCAAATTGTGTACAAATTATCAGATGTTGAAGTGACCAAGGACCTTATAATTATTTTGAAAGATCTCACTGAATTTTGAAGACAATTGACAACTCATGAGAACTAGATTGAAAAGCGAAGAAAAATTAAAAACAGAGCGGGACACCCAGCCTACATAAGCAGGCACACAACCATTGTCGAGACAAATGAGAAGTATGCCTTAGAAACTGATAATAGTTATCTGGTCTGAATATTGTGAATTCGTAACGGTTACCTGAAAAATTTCCATTAACCAAAGATTTGGCAAGGCTATGTCGGACCGTCCACAATCAACCAAAAAGTTTCCGTGGAAATTTCAACTAATCGGACATTCTAATTTGGAAATGTCGAGATGTCTCTCTAAAAAAACCTACACTATGAAAACATTCACAAATCCGACATCCTGACGAAACTCTAAAAACGTAAGACTCGTCACCAAAGTGTCGCGAACTTGAAATCTTATAAAGAAGTCTCTTCGAAAAGCGTTCACTAGTGGTTCCCATGTTGAACCGTGCACAATGCAAGCCGAGATAAGAGGTTGAGGCAGACCTTCGAAACGCGTAATGGAAATCGAGAAACCTAGAACGTCTCCCCCAGCCATGACAACAGCACGTCTCAAAGACATAAGAACATCTACAGCTTGCAGATAAGGTGCTGTAAAATCCCCCAACATCCTGTTTCCCCCTTGACGCTCTTGTGTTTGGTTGTCGTAACAGTATCCTTATTCTCTGGGTTGGATGCATCCGAACCACAATCAACCATGAGCCACGGTCGACACTCGTGGCTTTCACTTGATACTTTACAGTGCGCAAATTTCAACTAATCTGACATTCGACCACAAAACTTGGGAAGTGTCGAGACTCGTGTCTCAAACTGGTGAAAATTAAAAGTAATCA